AATCTGTAAATGTTAATGAACATACATGATGTAATGTTCTTATGGATCATGAATTACAAATCAAGCACGTCAGCATTTCATGATATAGTGAAAGCGTGAACATGAAATAAAGACATTGGAAGATTTATTTAGCGATGATTCTGAATATGATATATGGACTAGAAATTATGGTATTAAAGAGTAAATATCTTGGAAGAACAATGAATTGACCAATCAATAAGCATTAGTTCTAGGAACTATTCATCTAAGAGTTGTTCGATAATCAGATCAAACAACATATTTTGTATAAAGATTTCTGAATTCTTTCCTGATGCACATGAATCATATCGGAATTCTAAAGTATCAACCTTAAATGTCAGATTAGATTGGTTAGCAATCAATTCCCTTCAATAGGACCTCATTTTTAGAATCTGATCAAATTACATCAGTTCCATGTTATTCATTCTCATAACTACTAAGTGTCTTTGAGAAATACTTGGATATCCTAGTGTGTTTCACATGTACCACATGACGATTTTATATGTTTTTAAATGAGTTTCACCGAAACTATTGATTTACTGGTTTATGAACCATGACAACATGTTATATGTTTTCCGATTACGGGTTTTACCGAAAAATATGAATTATTCCTGATTTATGACATCATGGAATCTACTGGTTTTATGAACTATGTTTACTTGAAATATGTTATCGGGTTTCCTATTTTCATTGGAAAATATGATCTTGATAAATCACATACTGAATATTTTTATGAGACAATACTCGATGTTCTGAATATAGTTTATTTTGATATCTAATTTACCACATATTTTGATATGGTTTATGGTTACGGTATTTTTGTACATGATTTCTAAATATGGATTAATTACCGTTACAGTTCCCCCAGGTCCCTTTGTTGTGTGCAAGGGTAAGCCTTACAGTTCCCCCAGGTCCCTTTGCTGTGTGCAAGGGTAAGCCTTATAGTTCCCCCAGGTCCCTTTGCTGTGTGCAAGGGTAAGCCTTACAGTTCCCCCAGGTTCCTTTGATGTGTGCAAGGGTAAGCCTTACAGTTTCCCAGGTTCTTTTGCTGTGTGCAAGGGTAAGCCTTACAGTTTCCCCAGGCTCTTTTGCTATGTGCAAGTATAAGACCTTATCGTTTTTGCATGATCCTCTGCTTTGTGCACAGGGTAAATATGTTTTAAACTGCTACTGTTTTAAAAGATATGTATCTTTTCACTGGTTTTACGGGAACACACTAGATAACCTATGCTGATCTCCTGAACCTAAACATTCGAAATATATTTCCCTGAACTAAACGCTTATTATCTGTTACTACCTGAAATATCCGTAAGATCTCTGCTCAGTATAAAGATCTGTAGATGTCTGAACTAATAAGGAAATATATGTTTATCGCTATCTGCACGTTTTTCAGCATCATCTGGTAGTTCTGTATTACTGAGCTTTTTTGAAGCTCACTCTATTACTCACCATTGCATGTTAGAAGAATTAAACTAGTGCATCTATCGACTTCAGTAAATGAGTTCTTCCGACGTTGTTGCAGAGTATGGTATATGTGATTAGGGAGCATGTAATTGTATTTTATTTTAAATACGAGACAGAAAATATATTTTATTTATGAATATTGATAAATGATTTTATAGGTTACATGTTTTAATAAAGGTTTTAAATTTTCCGCTATTTTTACAATGGGTCACTCCGGTGGCCCTAATGTGACACTCCAGATCGGATCGGGTTACCCGCATTGGTTTGAGGGGGGTTACAAAAGCAATATATCATAAAATCAAACATGTTCTCCAATGAAAAGGAAAAAAAAGGAAAGAGTGATTGATTGCAAAATTTTGATGCATTATCATCCACAACAAGCAAGCCTACCTCTAGCATTTCAGCCTCAAGTCTCCCATCTGACAATAGTACTTACTCTTCATCCCTTAATACTTTGACATCCTTAGAACTTGGAGAAAGTGGATCTTCAGATTGAATTAAGCTTATTAGGAACTTAATTATTTCTCTCAAAAAAATAAAGTTCTATAAGAAAATCTCCAACTACCGAAAGATTTTTCAGTTATACATAAACCAAAATGGTTCACCACCCATCAAAGTACACCTCATTTCTAGGAAGATTCTAGTTTAAACCAATTAGCGAATTTTAGGATTTAGAGTGAAAAATAGGGCATAGGGTTTATGAAAGTAACGACAGTGTCAATTGAAGTTCAAAAGAGAGATTTGCAGAAATTCCTTAATGGTTTATAGTGAAAATCTGCAGGAGCAAATGAAATTCAGAGTACATAAATCAAAGTTTTGGTGTCATTCCTTATCTGCAATCAGTCACACATTCTAAGGTAACAAGTAAACTCAAGTTTTTCGTATTTCCTGCTTCCCACATTTATTGTAATCTCAATAGTCTCTTATCTAGCACTTTATTGCAAGGGAAAGATATTGCGCTATACCATAATATCAAGTTTCAAAAGTGAACTCAAAAATGAGATTAAAAAGTCATTATTATTCTCTTTTGTTCATTTCAAGGACAACTTAAAAAGTTATTCAAAAACCAAAACAGTATTACATCGTGTGTTAGAGAATAGGCAACTCTGTTGATGCTTAAGGCCATAACATGATCTCTCGGATCTTCCCATAAAATCCAAAGAAGTATAAGGTATTGCCTGCAATGACAACAACTATGAATCTATGTAAGTGATACCGTTGCAGTATATTATCTGCTTCTACTGAAAAGAAAAGGTAATGTCCTCAACGATAGAGGTTAACGAGATAGTTAATAATAGATGCTCTACTTCGCAAATGGCTTTAAACAAAAGAAACCAATCAATAGATTACTGGGGATGGATGTTGACCTCCAATGAGCTTTCTCAACTAGCTGGAGATACAGACTGTAGAACACGACCATTTTTTTCAACTGATCGACGGTGTTGCATCACTGATGCTGCAATATGGCTCCTCGAGGTACTTGCACTTGCTAGCTGACATTAAATTCAGGGCAAAGCATTAAAATTATAAATACAAGTACACAAGGCTATGCATCCATTTGATTAAACAAGGGTCAACCGGAATATAATCGACAAGGCAGGTTTTAGAGATGAGAAATTGATAATCAGTTTGCAAGAAACTGGCAATGTATATCAATCAAACAATAAAACCAGTAAAAGAATCACGCAAAGCACAAAATTCTAAGCAAATGAACTCAGCAATCAAGCAGCAAAGAAAGCAATTTTATGTTCCTTTTGACACTCATTAATCCAAACACATCATTAATCCAAAGAGATGGCTTTCAGTTCAAACTAGCCATAGATAAGTAGGAACTGGAACTTAAAGAAGAAACAAGAAGAAAGAAAAGCAAGCATGTTTACCCTACACCAATATGTACGCTCCACTGAAAGGGTAAAGTGAGGGTTATTTGGGATCTTGGTTCCTCAACGGAGATTTCAAAAAGTCAAACCTACGGTGGTCGTATGGTTCAGCAGTGAGGGAGAGGGTGTTGTTTTGAGAGGCTTATGGTTAAGATATGTTTGAGGAGAAGTGTTTGAGGTCTAGGTTTCTCGTCGGAGTCTTGGGGGAGCGTTTAGGCCACGGTGGTTGTGGCTTTCTGCTAAGGCTGCGAGTGGACGAGGTTTGAGAGGAGAACGGTGAAGGGGGAAGTTTTAACCAGGTAAAGTTTTTAGGGAAATGAATTAGGGTAAGAGTTTTTACCCTAGATATCCTGCTTTAGTGTTCCTTCAATTTGTGCTTGTTTTCAATTGTGTCTTGTAATTTTAATTATTTGACATTGTAATCCCTTAATTGGCTTGTTTAATTTAATGAGTAATTTCTACTTTGTATGCCTATTTTCAGTTTTATATTGTTTTGGTCCTTCATGGCATTTTTAAAATATGAGTTTAAGTTATTAATAGTAGGTTTAATCTTATATTGTTTCATCTTAATGTATGTACATTTGCATTTCATTTGTATGCATGCACGTAACTTGTAAGCGCACTTTAGTTTAGGTAATAATTTAGTCCCCGTTTAGGATTGTCTTCTTTAAATAATTGTGTATAACTTAAACCCTAAACCCTAAACCCTAAACCCTAAACCCTAAAATATAACCCCTTAATTTTAACCTTAAACCCTAACCCTAAACTCTAATACTAAACCCTAAACCCTATCACATAATTATAAAGGATGAGATGTCTTAGTTGTATTATAGAATTTTTAATATATTTTTAAAATTTTATAATTATCAATAATATATTTTTAATAATGTAATTTTAAAAAATCTAAAATTATAATATAACATTTTTTCGAGCTGCTCACGAGCTTTTCGAGTCGAATATTGAGTAGCTCGTTAAGAAATCGAGTCGAGCTCGAGTCAAGTCCATTCGATCCGAGTATTTATCGAGCCTTGATCGAGTCGATCTCGAGTAGCTCGCGATCTATCTCGTTTCATTTACAACCCTAATCAACACTTTAAAGCACCACCTTCAAGCCATACAAGCGTGATTCATAAGCAAACAACAAATGGCACCAGTCCATTCGATCCGAGTATTTATCTAACCTTGATCGAATTGATCTCGAGTAACTCGCGATCTGTCTCATCTCATTTACAACCCTAATCAACACTTTAAAGCACCGCCTTCAAACCATACGAGCGTGATTCATAAGCAAACAACAAATGGCACCATTACCAAATTATTTAACCACCAAAACGATGACAATGAACCAATACAAATAAAAAGACAGAGAAACAGAACCAGAATCAACAACACAAAATAAGATTCATTATACAAATTGTCGAATGTTTTAACTTAAATTATGCTCAGTTACCAGCTTCAAAATTTGTACAGATTCTCTCCATTAGCCGCTCATCATCAAATCAAACAACCCACAAAAACAAAAACAAAAACCAGTAGGAAGAGATCATTCCCCCCAACAAGATTCTTGGCGTTTTTTACAACTAAAGCTAAACAAACGCCTCTCTCCCCTTATTTTTGTTGAAGAATCTCCTTTACTTACAAGACAAGACACCATCATTTACATTGAAAGGATTAAAGGAACCCCTCACAAGCATATTTACATACCAACAAAAGGGTTCCTCTCATTTTTCTCTCCCTTCTCTGCTTTAAAAGTCACATTATTAAGCACCTTTCGGTTCATATCTATGTACTGTTTTTTTAGGATTGAAATGGGGTTCTATGCCAGTGCAGAGATACGGCAATTTCGACGATCCCTATCAAGGCAATCGAACCCCTCAACTCTCACAGCTGGTTTGTTACCAAAATTTGCCCGGACACAGCTTCCTTTCCTTGAAGAGGATGATGGAGACGACGGAGACAGCGGGGTTATAGCCTTCTCGTCTCCAAATTGGGCATCCTGTATTAGCGGGTTAGATACTCTGCTCGGCGGCGGCCCACAAAAAAATGGGGGCGACGACCCTATGTCTGTACAAGTTTGTTCCACTCCACTTCCACCCTGTTGAATTTCAAAACCAATAATCACATCATATAAATATAATGATAATTTCTTTGAATTATGAAGTTTATTTTTCCAAAAACACAACGGAATCGTAGATTCGAACACGTTTAAATACATTAGATTCTGATTTAATAATTATGGTTAATTCAGGTATTGTATTAAAATATATATAAATTACGAGAGAGAAAAAAATGCATACCTTGATAAGAATCATATCCAAAACATCACTCCCTCCTTTTGAATCATAAACCTCCGCTTGATGGCTGGACAAAATTAAAAAAATGTATTTTATCAGATCTATTTATTGAAAACCGAAAACAATAGTGAAAAATGAAGGGCATATAAAGAAGAGAAAATTACCAAAGCTGCCATCTGGGGGACCTAACAGGGTAGTCCTTGAAGGGAGTGTTCAAGAGACCTAAACGACGTGGTTTCGGGCAAACCATGGTCTCTTTCCGCTCCGCAACCATAACCGAAACGGAAAAGGAGCTCCGTATCTCGCCAAGGCTGCTTCCGATTTCGCTTTGTTGGATTGCACACTGGTTCATCTTTCCTTTTTTGCCTTTTTTTTTTAATTTTAATAATAATTAGTTATCCTATTTAACACATAAACAGATGCTTAATCAAACATCGTAACGATACATAAAACAAGAATTACAACTATCTTAGAAAAACAAAAGATTCAGATCAACAGATCTACTCAAACAAAAAATTAAAAAAACAAAGTGGATATTCAATATCTTTATAGATCTACCGAGCTTACGGCAAGTTATGTAAAAATAGAAACAAAAAAAGAAAGAAAAGAAGATAAGATAAGATCTAAACTTCTAAAATTAGGTTTCGCTACAGACATGATTCAGATTACAGATGGAGGGAAAAACAAAGGAAATCTCGGAAAAAGCGTCGTTTGAAGAGCTGAAATAGTGGAAAGGGAAAAAAGGTAGAGGCAAATATAGGAGCTATAAAAGAAACAAGGTGAGACAAATAATACCTTGGCTTTTAACTGTACAGCTACTTTGAGAAATCAGTTGGAGTGGAGAATAATAATGAAGAGAGCACCATGGAAATGAAGAAGAAATTAGGCGAGGGAAGAGAGGAGGATGGTAAAGGTGAGGTCCCGTGTGATTTATTGAAGATGGAGAAAGAAGGAAAGAGAGGTACAGAAGAATCACAAAAATTCAAGAAATATTAATAAATAGAAAAGTCGTATTGCAGTTGGGCAAACATCACAGCTATGAGTACACGTCGAGAATAGACACGATCGCCTCATATCTATACCGTATATCATCACTCAAACTTTTTTAAATATATTTTGTTTTAAATTAAATAATTTAATGAAATCTTCTTATAATTAACATCAAATTTAGATAAAACAAAATATATATTTTTATTTAAAAACAAATGAAAGGAGTAAAATGTAATTAATTAGATTTAGTGATATTCGAAGTCCTCAAAAATTTCCAGAAAACAATATAACCCTCAAATACTTTTTTATACTCAATATTATCTTTAAATTGATAACAAAATCAATTTGGTCTTTGACTAATAGAAAAATCTGTTGAGTGTTGACCATTATGATGGCATAGCAACTTATGATAATAATGACATGAAAGATTTGTTAAATTAATTTTTAGTCTATTTTGAAGCTTAAATTATTTTTTTAGAAAGTTTAAGTCTTTATTTAGTTTTTTTAAAAATAAAAATATTTTAAATCTAGAATATAAAAATATTTAAAACTAAAATTAAAAATAAATCATTTAAAAATTAAAAGATATACTAACAATACTATAGAATTATTAAAAAGTATAAAATAATTATAAAATAAAAAATTACTTAAAAAAACATATTATAAATATGTACGTGTAACATATATACACAAATATAAATTAATCATATTTATATAATCAAATTAACAAAATCAATATGCTTTTAATTTTATACATTTCAATCATCACTACAAAGCACAAATGTCATAAACTTTTATATATTATATATATATATAATTATGATTTCATTACCGAACAATCATATTATATATACACATACTAAATATGGTTTCATTACCAAATATTCATATTACTAACATTTATATAAAATATTGTTACTAAATTAATTAATATTTACAAATTTCGTATCTAAATATAATTAAAAAAATACAATAAGTTATTTATATTAATATACACATTTTATTGTACTTTAAACAATTTTAAAAAGATAGTATGACGGGTACGATCGTGTACTTTGACAATGATTTGTTTTTATGAACATGAGGTTATACTAGGCATAATAATTAAGAATATTTTTAAAGTTTAATTAAATATTCATTTTTATATTTTTAGCATTTTAGTTCAATATATAATTTAAAATAAAAATCGTTAGTCAACAAACGATTTTTTAAACTTATTAAAAACTCATCTTACCCAACAGCATGATGTCGGTCTTATGAGGAGAAAATAGTACTCAAAACTATATTGATCAAATAAACCGTACAACATTCAAAATTTCAGAAGAAATAATATCAATACAAACTAAATCAAAAAGAATTCGTAAAATGTCGACACCCATTTAATTAAACAACCTGCTACTGTATTACAAGATCGTCTAACTAAAGAAATGTGATAACCTGGAGAACTCTAAAACGTTTGTTTAGCTTGCTGGAGGTGGAACGCAAAGGTAGAAATTTCTTCACTAAAATAGGGTTTTTTATATTGAAATAAAATATTACAATCAAAATGTTAAAAAATAGATGTTGAAAAAATTTAGTAAAATGTTATAGATATTTTTCCTAAATTAACATATTGGAGTCTAAAATGCTCCAAATCAAGAGTTTTAGAGTTTAAAATTCAAATAGGTAAGATGAAGTTACTTAAATTTTAGTTTACATGGTATATGTATAAAAAATTACTCTAATATAAAATCTTATTGATTTTTATTATTCAAAATAGTAGTTTTTCTTTATTAATTTATTTTAAATTATATATTTAATTTTTATAATGATTTTTAAAAATTTTATTTAAAAATCATATATAAATATGAAAAAAGCATAACCATAAAATGAAAGGAGTAAAATGTAATTACATAGGTTTAATGATATTATTGAAAGCCTTCAAACTTTTTCCAAAAAATAATATAACCCTCAAACTTTTTTTACACTTAAAAGGTCATCCTTTATTTAAAGAAAAATCAATTAGACCTTTTGACCAATAGAAAAGAACGTTGACCATTATGATGGTAGCAATTCACGATAATAATAAAGAGAAAATAACCTCAGTGACCAAAAATCCCAGATAATATACGATTTTGACCAATTTTTTTTTTGAATTTGCGAAAATGACCAACAAAATCGCAATGCGATCTTTAATTCGCATTGCGATCTCCACTATTGCAAATTCGCGTTGCATTTCGCGTTGTGATAGTTGAAAAATCGCGTTGCGATTTTCCATTTCGCGTTGCGATTTTCCAAATTCGTTGCGATAGTTAAAAAAAAGATTTTGTTTCTTAAGAATTTTCTCTAAAAAGATAGTATCCGCGCGGACGTGTCGAAGACACGTACGACCACGATCACGACCACGAGACGAGACGAGACGACGGCGGCGGCGGCGCGCGAGAGTCCCCCTTGTTCTCTATCACTCAACAAGGAAGTGGGAAAGCCAAGCCTTAAATACCATTCCCAATAGTGTTTCCAATACTATGTGGGATTTGAGCATTACCAACACTTGTTCCCAATACTAAGTGGGATTGAGCCTTAAATAGTGATATTATTTTTGAATGTTTTGCTTAAAATTGCAATAATCGTGATTGATTGTAGATTGACTTTTAATTATGACATATATAATCGTATAATACTAATGCAATTGGTTGCTGATTCAGTTGTTTTAAGGTGCATGATTGTTAATTGTTTCCTGAATAATCACATTGTATTGGAAACAAGTGTTGGTAATGCTCAATCCCACATAGTATTGGAAACACTATTGAGAATGGTATTTAAGGCTTGGTTTTCCCACTTCCTTGTTTAGTGATAGAGAACAGGGGGACTCTCGCGCGCCGCCGCCGCCGCCGTCTCGTCTCGGGTCGTGGTCGTGGTCGTGGTCGTGGTCGTGGTAATACGTGTCTTCGACACGTCCGCGCGGATATTATCTTTTTAGAGAAAATTCTTAAGAAACAAAATCTTTTTTTTTAACTATCGCAACGAATTTGGAAAATCGCAACGACATTGTAGACTATCGCAACGCGAAATGCAACGCGAATTTGCGATAGTGGAGATCGCAATGCGAATTGCGAATTAGAGATCGCATTGCAATTTTGTTGGTCATTTTCGCAAATCCAAAAAAAGTTGGTCAAAATCGTATATTATCTGAGATTTTTGGTCACTGAGGTTATTTTCTCAATAATAAATGGTAGATAAGTTAAATTGATTTTTTTTTATAATTTTTACAGATTATATTGATTTTATTAGAAAGTTTTAGTACTTGTTTAATTTTTAAAAGAATAAAAATAATTTAAAATTTAAAATATAAAAATATTTAGAAAAAAATATTAAAACCCTAAAACGAAAAAAATTACTAAAAACCTAAAATATTTACTAAAAATACTAAAGCACTATTAAAAATTAAACCCTAAAACGAAAAAAATTACTAAAAACCTAAAATATTTACTAAAAATACTAAAGCACTATTAAAAATTATATATAAAAATCCGAACAAAAGCGGAGAATTCATTGGTGTTCGTGGGAGTTTCTAAGTCGTTTAAAAAAATGATGGGGTATTAGATTTCAGAGATATGGCTAAATTCAATGTCTTTCTGATGGCAAAACAGGGACAAAGATTGATTGTAAACCCTACGTCACTAGTAAACAGAATGCTTCGAGCCAAATAATATCCATCAAGTGATTTTTTACACTCAAGGTTCAGTTCAGCACCCTCATATGTGTGGAGAAGAATCTGGAGTGCTCATGGCTTACTGGAGATGGGATAAAGATGGAAAGTCGGGAATGGTTTATCAATCTCGATTTGGAACGATAGTCGACTCCCATGGAAACACAACAGATGATAATGTCCCCTAGAGTAGAGAATGTTGAGCGATTGCGGATTTGATTGATGCCGAGGCAAGAAGATGAAAAGTGGAACTAGTACGCCAAATTATTATTGAGGAGGAAGCAAACCGGAATCTTGAAATTCCGATTGCCCGATTTGAACATGATGATTTCGGAATTTTAGGAGGAGAGAAGACAAGTGTGTTCAATGTTAGAAGTGCTTATCGATTACTGTTAAATGGAAATAATTATGGGCCAGCAAATGCAAAAACCCTCGAACGTTTTTGGGTGAGTGAACGTCAAAGTAAGATTAAACTTCAAATATGGAGGTTCGTTTTTAATTTCATTCATACTTTTCATAATTTGTTTCAGAAGAGGATTACTAGTTCCGACCTATGTCTTAGATGTTCAACGGATAGGAAGACAAGAGTACATGTGATGCGAGACTGCCATCTAGCATCATTAGTTTGGAGAACAATGAGTTATAATTGGCCTATCCATATTAATACAGTGGACTTCACTGAACGGCTATCCTGGTTGTTTAACAACAATAATCCAATAAAACACGTAGAAATAACGGTGACTATATGGATGCTATGGTACGCACACACCACTTTTATACATCAAGGAAAGACATTCAAAAACGAGAAATTATTACATCGGTTCGTGCTCGGTGTCATGAATACTCAAGTGTAAACCGTTATCTTCAGATTACCAAAGCTGATCAGATAGTTCGTTGGAAGCCGCCTCTAAACCCAGTAGTGAAAGTGAATTTTGACTCCAGCTTTGATCAGAAAAAGAAAGAAGCAATTTCAGGTGTCATAATCAGAGACTACAGGGGTTTTATTTTGGGTCCATGCAGAAAGCTAACTCAGAACGTTACCTCGACATCCATGGCTGAGGCGGTGGCAGCATATCACGCGTTGGAGTTTGCAGCAAACATGGGCTTCAATAACATTATTGTTGAGAGCTTGATTCTCGAACAGTAAACGCAAGTTAGAGTCAAAGGAGAATGATCTTTTCGAGATTAGCACATGGATATAGGACATAAGAAGAAAATCTGACCTTTTTTCATCTTGCACGTTCAATTTCATCTTCAGATCTGGAAATATCGCTGCTCATTTGTTAGCCACCAATAGAGAATATGGAGAAGAGGAGCGATTCTGGGTTAAAGAAGGACCAAGGCGAGTAGAAATCCAGCCGGCTCAAGATCGAAGAGGAATGGAACGATTAGCACATGGATATAGGATAAGAAGAAAATCTGACCTTTTTTCATCTTGCACGTTCAATTTCATCTTCAGATCTGGAAATATCGCTGCTCATTTGTTAGCCACCAATAGAGAATATGGAGAAGAGGAGCGATTCTGGGTTAAAGAAGGACCAAGGCGAGTAGAAATCCAGCCGGCTCAAGATCGAAGAGGAATGGAACCAGTATAGATGAAGAAGAAATCAACGATTCGAGGTACCTGAAGGATCTATCTAAAAAGAGCATAAGTTTCTGAGTTTGAATATGAAACAGAAGATAATCAGTCAGAGAATTGTCGAAGAAGGCCAACAGTTTTTTGAGTTAAAGTATTTTTTATTTTTTTATGTTTTCAGTTTTTTTGAGCCAATTTTATGTTAATGAACTCCAGACTGTTTCCCATTAACAACAAGTCTCACTTCGTCAGATTTGTTTTATTTTATTAAGAATGAAAGACTGGCGTTCACATTTAAAAATAAAAATAAAAATTTATATTATAGGTAATATGTACGTGCAACATATAGACACAAATATAAATTAATTATATTTATGAAGTCTAATTAACAAATGTAATGTATACATATCAATCATCACTACAAATATCATAAACTTTTATGCTATATATATATATATGTATACTAAATATGAATTTTCCCTGATAAGTGTGACTCTACTGACTATGAAGGCAAGGTTTCAGAGCAACTTAAAGCCAATGATAGAAATGATTTGGCTAATGTTGAAGTAGGTAAAGCTACTTCTGAATCCTTGGGAAATGATGGTTGTGATGGGGAGTTCCCTTCACTTCAAGATTCTCTGTTGTTGAGGGTAATAGAAAGACTAGAACTGCCTCCTTGGGGGTAGCTATGTTTCTCAATGAGATTAAAGCAAAGAAGAAAGATCATTTGGAGAGAGTCAAAGGTGCAGGGGTTTGTAATGCTGTTAAGGGTGTTGATCCTCCTACCTCTAACTGATGATTTTTAGTTTTTAGAACGTTAGAGGGCTTAATAGTGGGCCCAAACAAAGTAAGGTTTTTAGAAGATTGGAGGTTTTAGGTGTGGATGTGATTTGCTTAATGGAAACTAGAGTTAGAGGTGTTAATTTCCATAGGATTGCTAATTCATTGGCTACTGATTGGAGTTTTGCTAACAATTATGATCATTCTGAGGGTGGTAGGCTTTGGATACTGAGGAAAAAAACCTTTCATTCTCTGTGCTTAAGGGATGTGATGAGGCCCTTTCTATTGTAGGTGATGTGGTTGGTAAAAGAGTTGTTGTTACTATTGTTTATGGCAGCAACAATAGTCAGACCAGAAGAGGTTTATGGGAGCATTTAAGGAACCTGGAAGTTGATATTGGTTCTGCCTCTTGGTTGATTGTGGGTGATTTCAACACTTTTATCAGTGCTGAAGAGAGTTCAGATTTTGAGGTTCTGGGTTTGCACAACACCTCTGATATGGTGGAATTCAAAGATTGCTTGGTGGATTTGGAATTACATGATCATCCATTCACAGGTCCACTTTTTACTTGGTCTAACAAGCAAGAAAGTAACTTCTTGGCTAGGAAGTTGGATAGAGTTTTAATTAACTCCCAATGGCTAATAAAGTTCACTGACTCAGCTGTGGAATTTAAAGCTCAAGGGCCTTCTGACCACTGTCTCGGGACTGTATGGACTCAGAAAAGTGCCCAGGTGAACAAGCCTAAGCCATTCAAGTTTTTTAATTGTTGGACTACTAGTGAGGACTTCACGAGGGTTGTTAAAGATTCTTGGCAAGATCACTGTGTGGGGGACCCTATGCTAATTTTGTTTACTAAGTTGAAACGTTTGAAGCCACTGTTAAAAGACCTTAACAGAAGCTCATTCTCTGATATTGCTAGCAGAGTAGTTGCAAAGAGAACTGAGCTTGAAGCTGTTCAAATTCACAATCTTGACCAGGTGGACAATAGAAGACTGGATGAGGAAAAAAAGATTTAGGCAGAATTATTAGCCCTTTAAAATGCAGAATCTGATTTTTACAGGCAGAGAGCCAACGTCCATTGACTCTAGGAGGGGGACTTGAATACTAAGTTTTTTCATCAGAGAGTGGATTGAACAAGAAGAGAAATACTATTAAAGTCATTAAAGATGATAGAGGGATATATCATGAAACTTTTGAGGATATGGCAGCTGAGCTGGAAATTTTTTTCAAAAGTCTTATAGGTACTGCTGATCCTATGGTGAAGAGCTGTTCTGCTGACTGGTTAAAGTATGTTCTAAATTACTCTTTACCTGTTGGGGCTGAAGATATCCTAGTTGGTGAGATTACTGAGGCTGAAATCAAGGATGCACTGATCAGGCAGGGGAAAAACAAAAGTCCTAGACCTGATGGCTATACCTCATGGTTCTTCAAGGTCACTTGGGAGATAATTGACAATGATTTTATAGGGGCTGTAAGGTATTTCTTTCAATCATCCTCCTTTTTACCTGCTTTTAATGTTACCTCCATTGTCTTAGTGCCTAAATCCCCTAATGCATGTATGGCCAAGGAATTTAGGCCCATTTCTTGTTGTTCTGTGATATATAAGGCAATCACTAGGATTCTGGTCATTAGATTATCTCTGTTCTTTCCTGGTATGATCTCTCCTAATCAATTAGCATTTGTTAAGGGTAGAAACATTGATGACAACACCTTACTAGCTCAAGAAGTAGTTAGGGGATACTTCAGGAAGAACCTTTCTCCTAGATGCACAATTAAGATTTACTTGCAGAAGGCTTTTGACTCAATCTGTTGGGACTTCTTAATGAATGTTCTGGAAGCTTTGGGGTTGCCTAAGGTATTTTGTGGTTGGATAAAAACTTGTATTACTACTCCCAGATTCTCTATTTCTTTGAATGGTAGTTTGGTGGGGTATTTTAAAAGGGCTAGGGGGTTAGGCAGGGTGATCCCCTTTTCCTTTATCTTTTTGTGATTGTGATTAATGTACTCTCTTCACTGTTGGATGCTGCTGCCAGGATTAGTGTGTTTAGATTCCATCCAAAATGCAAAAAAATTCCCCTCTCACACCTCTGTTTTGCTGATGACCTCCTTTTGTTCTGTCATGGATCATTGGATTCTGTGATGGGGGTAGTTAGTATTTTGGATAAGTTCTATGAGATTTCTGGCCTTAGATTGAATGCCATGAAGATTGAATTCTATGCTTGTGGGGTATCAGGAGATAAAGTTGAGCTGATTCAGAGAGCCATTGGCTTTAGGATTGGTCAGCTCCCCTGTTAGATACCTTGGGGTGCCCTTGGCCACACGTAAACTCACTAGCAAGGACTGTTACGCCTTGCTGGTGAAAATTAAGGACAAAATTGATAAGTGGTCCAGCAGAAAACTCAGTTATGGGGGTAGGCTCCAGCTTGAAAAATCTGTCTTGTTCAGCTTGTTTGGTTATTGGAGTAGACAATTAATACTGCCTAAGGGTGTCATTAGGGATGTTGAGAAGCTTTGTATGAGGTTCTTTTGGAAAGGTTGTAATACCCCTGCTAGGGGTGCTAGAGTGAGCTGGAAATAGGTGTGCTCACCAAAATCTGAGGGAGGATTGGGCTTAAGGAGGCTTGCTGAATGGAGTAAAACATGTTGTCTAATGCTTATTAAAAGTATCTTTGCGGGGGAAGGATCACTATGGATTGCGTGGATTAAGTGCTATTTTTTAAAGTCTACTAATTATTAGATTGTCGGTAGTAAACCACATTTCAGTTGGATTCTCAGCAAGTTGATTAAACTGAGGGAGGAGACTGGGCGTTTATTTAGCCCTGGGACTAGCTTATCTCAGATCAAGGGCAGGTGGATATGGGATAGTATCCGTGTCAGAAGTGACAAGGTTGCATAGCATAGGCTCATTTGGTTTCCTGCTCATGTTCCTAAGTTCTCTCTTGTGGCTTGGATGGTTTTGCTCGACAGGCTGCCTATTAAGAACATATTAGGCAGGTTTGGAATTATGGTTAGCAACAGTTTATGTGTGGAATAGGTCAGGAATCACGAAATCACATATTCCTTAAATGTCCTTTTTTGTCTGTGATATGGTGTGCTGTTATGCGAGACTGCGAATTGAAGCATCAGGTACTGGGTTGCTGGGGATGATGAGATTCGTTGGATGATTCTGCACTTTAAGGGAAAATCCCTCTTAGTTCATATCCTCAAGCTTGCTTGGACCGGGTTTGTTTACTCTATTTGGGAGGAACATAATCACAAGAGTTTTAGAGGAGTGATTTGTTCAGCTGATTCTATTGTAAATAGTATTAGAGAGGCAGTTCGTATAAAATTGTATATGGGTCACATTAATAGAGTTGATGATGTAAATAGGCGTTTGTGCCAAAATTGGGGGCTGATTTAGTTGTTTGTTAACGTTTTTTGTGGCAGCTGTGCTGCTTTCTTTGGATGAATAAATTTTTCCTATCCAAAAAAATAAATATGATTTTGCATACAATCATCACTAAATATGTATTTTTATTAAATTAGTTGAGAATTACGAATTTTACATCTAAATATGATTAAAAATATTGCAAGTTATTAATATTAATACACACATCTAATTATATTTTATACAAAATTATAAAAATTATGTGATGTGTACAATCACATATTTTGAAAATGATTTATTTTTATTACCTAAAAATAAATTAACATAAAAATTACTATTTTTTTGAATAATTCACATATTATTACCTAAAAAAAGAAAAAAATTGCTTAAAAAATAAAAAAAAATATCCTACAAAAAATTAGATACTCCAAGCAAATTCCCAAACATTACAAAGAGAAAAATTAACATGTTGTAATCTATTTACAAATATGTCAAAGAACTTAAATCTAACAAGCTCCTTAATGCAATCAAATACCATCATTCTACTGGTTCTAATATGTCAAGGCATTTTCTCACTCTTATCTCTGATATCCTCATATTAGCCTGTT